GACCCTGTGTACACAATTTTGTTCCACCTCATGTACCACATGTGGTGCGAATGACAAATAAAGAACCTTGAATCCTTGAAAATCTGATTACTTACAGATTTTATTAGATTTTTTAAAATAACTATTTGAAGTAAATCTAACAAAGTTAAGTCAGGTCCTCTGGATGGATTAAAAAAAATAAAAATAAAATATTGAAATGTTTTGTATTTTATCCAAAAGACTTCATCTGTCTGAGGAGCTGCACTAAACTTATAAATATAACTCTTATCTTATAAATAGCCCAATCACTGATTTTTTTTTAAATCTGTCCAGAGAACCTGATTTTAATTTTGTTAGATTATTTTACCTGGATTATTGAGCATGTATTAGAATATTTGAAGTGAACATTTTCTGTCTGTTAGCATAATATATCATGAACCTCTGTGTGTATTTCATTGAAACTTTCAGAAAATGATCATTGGATGCGCCTCTACAACTCTTCAACTTTTGAAGCCAATCAATTCAAGATGGCTCCCACAGCTAACTGACTTTATAAAGAACAACAATGGCTACAGTTCAGTGAATTTTAAATATTGTGCCAAAATATGTTGTGGTTGCAGCTGAGAGCCCTTCACGACACTTACTCTAAATGGTATGCAGTGGGTGTCATCTTTGGTTTAAACTTTAGCATTAACTAATGGAGTTGATGCCGTTTGTCTATTAGCAAAATATCTCATGAACCATAGGCAATGTAAATGAAAATTTCTGAAAGTATTCATACGTAACATAACTGCAACTGATGAACTTTAGCAGTCAATCTGATTCCAAATGGTTGATACGTCAACTTCATTATAGTTAACACTAAAACGGCTCATTGAGCTAAAGCTTGATGCGGTGGCAGCTGAGTGTCTTTATAACACACTCAAATGTAGTATCAGGACATAGCATATTGCAGACAATGCTATTTTAAATATTTGGCCAAAAAACTTGTGTTTACAAAGTATGAAGTCATAGTGACATAATAATTTTTAAAGCGACAGGAAGTTGTGATCAAATCTGCACAAAGTTGAGTGATCTGCAGGCATCACTTGGGTTATTTGCTGATTAAAGGAATATTCATTGTATTATATGATTAGTTTGAATACCATACAACACTTGATTTATTAGGTAACTCAAGAACAATGAGTGTTAAACTGTGATATTCGGGTCATTGTGGCTGATAAATCATTCTATATTAGATTGATAATTCACAAATATGTGTTGTATATTTTAAGATAGACATTGGGCAAATGTTTTGTGCAAGTGATGTAGAGAAAAAGACAGAAACCTAAAGAACGCTTCAGTCAAACGACTGAACAGCCACCAGAGAAAACCAACACCATCATCCTTTGGAGAACAGGAATTTGGGTAAATGATGTTTCACAGTGTGGATCGGTGGGGTGTGTGTGGGGGTGTATTCATCTTACACGCCACCCTCAGCATGACTGCTCGACTCTTCCCTGCATACACAAACTTCTGAGGCAGCAGCTGCTCTGAAGGTCCAACTGGTGCGGTTCTCTTCCCAGTGGTTGCCGTCGTGTTGATTCATGGCAGCTCTCCTACATCTGGTAGGATATTTAGAGTTGAGGAGTGGTCGCTCGGGGCGAGAAGGAGGCCCCGAGTTTTATCCCGACATTTTCTCATGTCCAGATCTTCGGTTCTCTTCACCTGGAGCCTTTCACGTTCAGACGTCGTCAAATCTATAGTCACTTGGAAGTAAAAATACATTTACCTTAGGTAATCCTAGGTCTGGGGTCTGCAACCTGCAGCTCAGGAGCCACATGTGGCTTTTAGGTTCCTCTGCAGCGGCTTCAAGTTTTGATCAAAACTAACATAAAACTGAAGTTTATTGGTCGTTGTACCAACAAGAAACGGCTAGTTTTAGCAGTTTTCCAGTTATTTATTTTTCCGTGTGAATGATAGTACTAACACAAGCAGTAAAACTTGTTGACTACTCAAGGGTTCCCAACCCTGTTCCTTGAGGAACACCATCCTGCAAATTTTAGTTATTTCCTGCTAAGACACACCTGATTTTAATACATGGGTGATTTAACAAGCTTCTGCAGAATGAGAGGAAGTAATTAAATCACTGAACCAGGTGTGTTGGAGCAGAGAAATGACTAAAACATACAGGAAGGTGTTCCTCAAGGCACAGGGTTGGGAACCACTGGTAGTTTGTTAGCCACTTCTTTTAGCTCACTTCCAGTGATCTTTTTCTCAAATCCACCATTTTCTTTGTGCATGTGTGGGGGAATATCTTTAAGGTAAGTTGCTGAGAAGAAATATGGTTGGTCAACTTGATAACAATAAAAATTAAAAAAAATTTAAGGAGTTTTTTTTTTTTTCCTTTAAAATTTCAATTACATATCCAACAAACTGGCCTAATTTTTAACTTTATGCTTTATTACTTTATAATAGGATACTTTATGAATTGTTTCCACAATTAAAAAGGAAACTCGCATAAGCCTGCATTCTTGTACTTGGAATTTTTATAAAATTGATTAAAAATGTTTTATATTTTTTCCTTCTTTACAAATTATTATTATGCCCTAAAATATAAAATATCAAATGTTATTAATAATAATAATAATGTGATATTTTAGTTTAATAATATCCCACCTACCGGCTGGAAACATGCAAATTCTAAATGTAGAATAAATCATCCATGAGTGTTTAGTACGGACAGAGAGCCCTCTAGTGGGGAGAATATAAAAAATAAATTCAACGGTTATCAGCTGACATTGAGGTTAAAATTATTTAAAACCTAATTTCAATCAATCCATCCATTATCTTTTACCCGCTTCTTCCATTTTGGGTCACGGGGGTCGCCGGTGCCCATGTCCAGCAATCACAGTGTGAGGGGCGGGGTACACCCTGGACATGTCTCCAGTCCATCACAGGGACACAGAGACAAACGAGACAAACAACCATTCACTCTCTCACTCACACCTAGGGACAATTTAGAGTTACCAATCAGCCTAACATGCATGTTTTTGGTCTGTGGGAGGAAACTGGAGTACCCGGAGAAAACCCACACATGCACGGAGAGAACATGCAAACTCCACCCAGAAAGGCCCCTGGACTGGGATTTGAACCAGGGACCTGCTCGCTGCGAGGCAGCAGCTCCACCAGTTGCACCAATGCGCTGCCCTAATTTCAATCCATTATTGATCATTTGAATATTAATAATAATAATATGAAGATAAAAATCATGTTCATTGCAAATTTTCTGTTAGTACCATGGTTCATATAGTAGGCAGACATGAAATATGGGAAAATTGTGGAAATGTTTTTTTTTTTATCTTATTTGTCCCAAACAGTTGGGAAAAAAAAGCATATTTAATATGCAATTAAATAAAACCACATTTGTGACTTCAAATTTTTTTTTGTTTTTTTTTGGGGGGGGGGGGGGGGGTAAACTTAAAAATATCACTTCTAACATGACCATTGTCAATTACATTCTTCACGAACATTTTTGCACAATTTGTCATTAAAACAATATTTGTTAAAACTAATCCTCTTTTTTTTAAAGGATATAAATAGTTTGAAATGATCAGTGACCTTCTGTATCATTTTAAACTTCTGATGAATAATCTGTAATGTTTGAGGGAGGACAAGATCATGTGGGAAAACAGGAACTCTAGAAATAAGAGCTTGGAATAAGTAATGGATGTGACTAAACAAAGACAAGTTCCTTAGTTTTTCAGGTCAAACGTAAATATTTAGTCATAAATGAGCTTTTTCTTTATAAAAAAAAAATGCAGACTTGCAAACTTTTTGCTTTATATTAAAAAATAATGGCAAGACAACCAGGTTTTGTGGAACTTTACTCTTTCCAATTGTAATCAGGTGAAATCTCGATTCAAAACGTTTCTTACATTCATTTATTTGTGAGCGTTCATTTGTTTTACCTTCACTCATTTAAAACTGGACCAGCTGCTGTAAGGTTTAAATCTGTCAATACTTCACTTATATTTTACATTGTTCCTAAAGAGACAGATAATCTCATTCCCATTTACTTTTCTGCATATTTTCCCCTAAATTAGCAGCATTTGAATCTGTCGACAGTTTTCAGAACAGTTCATAATGAAAACTACAAAACACTGGTAACTGTACTGGTTTCTGGAACACTTCAATATTGGTTTTGACTCATCCCTAGATTAGACTTATTATAAACTACAGCTGAATAAACTGCTAGATAGTTTTAAAAGGAAAAGTTGTTCTCGATCAGCTGACAACCGTTTGTTGCCAACTTTTAGGATAACTTCAGGTTAGACCTTTCCTTACATAAATATTCCACCTGGTGTTATATTTTAGCAACAGTACAGTAGTCCCTCGCTACTTCGTGGTTAATTTGTTGCAGATTTGCTCTATCACGGTTTTTCAAAAAAAGATTGGACATGACACACAATTGGCTGATTGAATGATGAGTCACATGATCAGCATGGATTTTCATTTAAAATAAATTAGCACCACGAAGTGGATGTGGCCAAGAGCGACAGAAATTATGACATTCTGTGCTTTTATATCATTTAGAAACATTGTTTACAATAAGAGTGTGGAAATGGTTTAAAATGCCGTAATAAATATAAACTAAAATAAAACTACTTGTACTATTTCTATTTTGCGGTTTTTCACATATCGCGGGGTTTTAAACGAGGAACTACTGTATAGTTACTTTTTCACGGCAACAGCTGTTTAGATGTGGCAGTGGTCTGTTAAATAATATACTAGATAAATACTTTCAAGTTACCATATTTATAGAAAAAACTGTTAATTCAATGGACGTTCTTCACATAAAAAGGCATTTCAGAATAGATTTAATCTCACACTTAATTTCTAAAATTTCACTGGAAATGGAGACAAATATTTGGCGTGCATCATTTATAGTGTATTTCTTTCAAAAAGACAAATTGAAGTAAACGGCAGGTTAATTAGGCTTATTATAACAAAGTGTAAGAACTTGGCATCAGTACCTGAACTGAAAATTGAAGAAACTTTTATTTAACTTCACGCAGTCCTTTTACAAGACGCCAGCTGTTCTGAGCTGAACATGTTTAAAATAAGCAAACACTGTCAACTGAAGAATCATCATCAAAACGCTCTTCAAAAAAATAAAAACACACGACTTCGCGTACAGTACAGTTTAGAATTAATCGTTCACAAGATCTAACAAGTTTTGAAAACCAAAAAAAGATTTTGATTTAAAATAATTTTCATCTTCTGCAAACATCACATAAGACTTCAGGAAAAGGACACTAAAGGAGATTCTTAACAGAATAAACGAAGCGAAAGCTCCTTTAATGAGAACAGAAACTTTGTAAAAAAAAGTTTCTGACACGAGGAGGAGATACAGGAAGCAGACGGATGCTGAGCTTAGTTACATCTGAATATAGCAGAGCTGAGAAAACAGAAGATTCGAAGAAGGCAAAACAAAATGACAAATACCACTAAAAAAAAAGACTACTATATCACAAGATGAAAAATATATACTGAAGTATTGTGACCAAAAAAATAAAAGGTACAAAAAGAGTTGAGTCTAATCCATGAATTAACGACCACCTGAAACGGTCCCAATATCCCACAGATCAATAGCGTCGACCGAAGGCTCCCCCCTGCATCCCACTGCCCTGCATCATCTGGCTCTGTCTGTTCAGAGTTCCAGACACAGACTGAGATGCTCCTGCGTTCATGTAGCCTCCACGGCTGCAGGACAGAAAACTGTCATTAGACCGCAGCTCTTGTGTTAAGATAAATGTAAAAATCAGACCTAACTCATGACTGACTTACCCCGCCATTCCTCCTCGCCCAACGTGGCTCGGTCCTGGGAGACTTCCATCTCTACCTAGAATTTAAAAGAAAACATCAGGCATACTGGCCACAATCACAATTCCCTGGTACAGGTGTATTTGCCAATATCTTGAGTGATCATTGTGTGATAGCGGCTTCGAGAGATATTAAACTTCCACCTACTAAGCCCAAATTAATTCAAAAAAGGGATATGAAACATTTTTGTGAACAGTCATTCCTCTGGGATCTGTCCCTCTTTGACTGGCATCGTATTCTGTTAACTGATGACGTGAACTCTGCTTGGGACTATTTCCATAATAATTTCATTTATTTCCTGAACAAACATGCTCCTTTTCGTCAGTTCAGAACAAAGGGACGAGACAGCCCCTGGTTTACTCCAGAGCTAGCTGACCTCCTGCACAGGAGAGATCATCTTTGGGCCGCAGCGAGAAAATCTGACTCAGACACTGATTGGTTGAGTTTTCGACAGATGAGGAATAAATGCACAACTGCTGTCAAAGCAGCAACACACAACTATTTCTTATCTCAGACCTCCAAAAATCTAAATGACCCTAACAGATTCTGGAAAACCATCAAATCTCTCTCAGGCACCCCCCAATCATCTGACCTCCCATCACAACTTCTCGTTAACTCTGTTTCTGTGTCAAATAAGCACGAGATCCTGAACTGTTTCAACAAACATTTTGTTGCTTCTATTTCATTATAAGACACAGTTACTAATGGAAGATCAGCCACTTCACTTAATAACCAAACTTCTACAAATCAAATCCCTCCTACAAGTCAATCCTCAGTTAATCACAGCTTCTCTTTTTCTCCATTCTCAGTCAGTGAGGTCAATAAACTGTTAAAAGATCTTGACCCTAAAAAATCTGCAGGTCCAGATGAACTTCCACCTTATTTCTTAAGGCTGGCTGCTCATATCATCACAGTCCCTGTGACCCACATCTTCAATCTCTCCATAAGACAAAACTCCATCCCAGACACTTGGAAAACAGCCTTTGTTCTTCCTTTGCTGAAGGGAGGTGACCCCACCTCACTGAACAACTATCGACCAATCTCTAAACTCTGCATTTTAGCCAAGGTTCTAGAAAAACTGATAAACTCTCAAATCAAAAATTACCTGGACTCATTTATAACAGCTTACCTCCACATCAATCTGGTTTCAGGAAACAACACAGCACAACCACTGCTTCACTGAAGGTTCTTAATGACGTTGTTGAAGCACTGGATGCTAAAGATTATTGTGCTGCACTTTTCTTAGACCTGTCTAAAGCTTTTGATACTGTGGATCATAACATCTTGTGTCATAAACTCTCAGAAATTGGTTTCTCAGAACACACCATTGGTTGGTTCTCTAACTATCTTTCAGACCGGAGGCAATGTGTTCAACATAATGGTACTTCCTCCAGTTATTTAACAGTCAACAATGGTGTACCACAAGGCTCAGTCTTAGGACCCACACTCTTTACAATCTACATACGTAATGTAGGTAAAAACATCCCTAATGCATCCATACATTTCTATGCTGACGACACAGTTTTTTATTGTCGAGCTAAAACTGTTGCTAAGGCTTTCCAGCTTTTGAAATCTGCATTCAACATCATCCAGACTGATTTGTTTTGCCTCAAACTTGTCCTAAATGCCGACAAAACCAAAGGGATGCTTTTTTCAAATAGGAAGTTGGTCCCAGCAGTTCTTCCTCCGATTTTATCCTCAAATGGTGTCCCCATTGAGTTTGTTGATTCCTATAAATATTTGGGTATCTTGGTGGACTCACATCTCTTTTAAGCTCCATGTGTAAAACTTGTTAAAGAAACTGAAAGTTAAACTGGGTTTCTTTTTCAGAAACAGATCCTGTCTAACCCTGAATGCTAGAAAACGCCTTGTATCTGTGACTTTCCTTCCCTCCATTGATTTTGGTGATATTATTTAAATGAATGCTTCTACAAGAACCCTGCAGATGTTGGATGCTGTCTATCATGGTGAACTAAGATTCATAACTGGCTGTGATTATCGTACCCACCATTGCACCCTGTATTCACTGGTTAACTGGACACCATTAACTTCACGCAGACTCTCTCACGGGTACATTTTCATCTTTAAATCACTTCTTGGTCTGCTGCCTTCATACATCTCCTCCTACATCTCTCTGCGTGAGTGCAGCTACGGAGTGCGCTCTCAGGACGTTATTACCTGCAGTGTTCCCTCAATGAGGACTGAACTAGGCAAAAGGATCTTCTCCTACTCTGCTCCTGTTTCCTGGAATATCTTACAAAAAGATTTGAAGCTCTTGACCTTGACCTCTCTAAGTGGCTTTAAGAATCTGTTGGACACCTGGCAGGGTCCAATGCAGACATGTTCCTGTTTTTAGTTTTCTACATTCGCCTTAGAATCTAGCTGTTTTTTTGTTACCTTTTTCTTTTAGCCATCCTAATTGTTATAATAATAATAATAATAAAATAATAAAAACTGTAGTATGACTTTTTATAACTGTTTATTGTTGTTGCTGTTGTCCATTGTTGTCGTCATTCTTTGTTGAAATCAGGTCTCTCTTGTAAATGAGTCCTCGAGGCTCAATGGGATTACCTGTCTAAATAAAGGTTGAATGAATGAAAAATCACAGTACTTACAGCCATTTGCTGCCACAGTGGATAAAACTAGGGGTGGGAATCTTTAAGCATCTCAAATTTAATTACAATTCATAAAGCTGCGATGGGATTAGAAAACAATTTAGAAACTTTAGCGACTACTGCATCTTTTACATAAATACAATTATATATTTTATGTTGAATAAAGAATTCACAAGACAAACCAATTATGAATGACAGGCTGCTGACCAACAACTAGCATAGATGCTAACCTAATATTGACAATTCAATGCTAATGGTGTTAGCATTGTTTGCCACTGAAAATTTAAACGCATTTTTAAGTCATTACTAAAACCAGTTATTTTATAACTTATTATTTATGTTGGATTAAAAAAAAATAATAAAAGCTGTGAAAACGCAGCTTTACTGCAACCTGCTTTTACTACAAGAATCAAAGAAAACTATGACAGATTTCACACTGACCCCTTTGTAATTATCTTCCGTTTAGGGTAAAATGCTCAAATTCAGTGTTTATTTTTTATTTAATTACTTTAACTTAACACACACATCAGCATAGCAGATGTATGGATACCTTGCCATTGCCTGTCTCCATCCACCTTCCGCCCTGAATCCCAGTCACGGCCACCCTCCCTTAAAAAAAAAACACACAAAAAAAACACCGATATATATTTTTACATTCTTTTAGAAAATTTAGATTCAAGATTTATATGACAGATGCTGGTCTCTGGTCTGTGTGAAACTCACCTTGTATTCATGCGCTTTTCGTAGCCTCCGCCCCAGGAGTCTCTGCCATGTCTGTCTGAAAAGTGCTGCAAGAAGAGATGAGAAACTTTTATTTAATGTTGTTGTGTGGCTCTAAATGAAGCTCAGCGAGCTGCATAACGCTTACTTTGCTACGGTTGTGTAAAAACACAACTTTTGTTTCTTGTCAAATGTATATTTTTTAATGTTATCCTCAAGAGAATCCTGGTGTCTTACCTGTCCATCTCTGTCAGCACCTATCCCCCGAGCATTGTCCCGTCTGTCCATAGACATGTCGTCTTGGAACCGGCCCCGGTCCCTGTGATCAAAGTCCTGACGACCAAAGTCTGAGCGGCCATAACGGTCATCCATAGACATTCTCTTATCAGGCCAATCATCTTTCCTTTAAAAAAATGGAAATTCATCTGGTGAGCTTGCTCATAAACAAAACTGACGTTTCAGTAATAAATCAAACACCAGTCATCAGTGCCAGGCAGTTGTCATTGTACTGTATACCTTCCATCCATGTCGTACGGCCTCTTCATTGGGCGCCTGTCCTGCTCGTAGCGCAGCTGGTCCTGCTGCCTCCTCAACTCGTCTCGCTCCCTGAGGATTCTTTCCTGTTCACGCCGCCTCTCATACTCTATACGCATCCTCTCACGCTCCAGGAACTGACGCTCTATACGGTCGGCCTCAAGACGCTGCTTCTCAACCTGCCAACAAAATCTCTCACTGTAACCATCAATGTGGATGAGAACTTCTTTTAATTACAGCTGGGATAACAAAAAAATCAAATAAAACCCTGAAAACGTTCCTGCAAGTTTAATAGTTATTGACAATAAAGCTCAACTATTTGGAAGGAATGAAACGAAACGTTGGCTGTATAAAAACAAAAATAAATGTGATGTCAGTAATAGTCAGCTAAAAGAAAGTCACATGACTTTACCTCCAACCAGCGTCTGTTATGCATCAGGTGCTTCCTTTCTTCTCGTTCCCGGAACAGACGAATTCGCTCCCGCTCTGAACGGTCACGATTGCGGTCTCTGAATGAAGACAAAAAATAATCTTTATGTACAAACGTCTTTAGCTCTCATACATTATTCTTCATTAATAGCAGAGCTGTGATAAAAGATATTAGTAGTTTCTGTAGCATTCAGTTCTCTGTAGGATTTGTGTCTCGCTCCTTACGGGAATCTGCGTCGCTCAGCCTCTCTGAGGTCTCTCTCTCGTTGTCGCTGTCTCTCCCGCTCTCTCTGCTCCTTGATTTGGTCAAATGTCAGGATGTCCTTCCTCTCTTTACTGGAGGAGGCACGATCTCGACTCTTTGTGCTCTGAAGAAACAAACGAGAAGCGTTAAAGACCGCAAGTCCAAAAATGTGAAAATCTGTAAAGATTTTTTTTAACTGGACCCAACAATAAGAGAAAGTTTCATCCGTCTTCTCATATGAAGCACTCATCAGGTGAATGTTTTCTTACCCTGTCCCTGCTTTTGCTTTTGGTTTTGACGCTGATAACAGGCTCTCCCTTGGACTTATCCATGACAACAGTCCTTTCATCTCGCTCTATCAAACAAGGGATAAAAAACTTTTAGTAACAAAATGTTTACTTTAAAACAAAGTTTACTTAAAGGTTTTTGTTGTTGAGCTTGAACATTCTTATCACCTTTTCCTTCTCCTTCAGTCTTATCTTTCCCATCAGACCTGCAGAAATGTACAAGAAAAAAAAAACATTAACATCACATTTAACAACACAACAGATTCATCAGAATGTGTTTTTGAGACAGGACGTAGCGGTTTTAAACCAACCAAGACACTAACGAGCCATACTACAAAACATATACACGGCTGTATGTCTTGAATTAAGCGATCCAGCAGACGATCTTACTTGGAGTCAGTGGAGTGCCTCCTGTCAGACATCTTTTTCCCAGCAGGCTCATTTTTAGCCTGAAATCATGAGAAGAACAAGTTGACTTCAAACTACTAAAGGTAACACTTTAAATTAATTTTCAAGTAAATCAAAATTACAGAGACTAGGAATTTCACTAATTAAAACAAACAAAAAAAAAAAAGAACTTTGTGCTGTGTTGACCACTTCACACTGATCTGGTGTGAAGAGACAAGGAACCAAAAATCACCAAGATGCTAAAAATAAAAGCACTTTGAGAAAAGTGGTAAATATGGTTAGCAGTAGGAATGCGCGATATAAACGGTACACGGTAGAAACAATAGACATTTAGCCTATGATAGAGATCTATATTGTACCGGCTAACCGCAGTAACACTGTGTCTGATGTAAAATCAGTTTTGTCAGATTTAATAGTTACGTTTTTTGAGTTGAAAACTGCATAAGTGGTGTTAAAGTCTTTTCTTCGAGAGCTAAGTAGCGAAGCTACAAGCTAACTATGACCAGGTAGCCGTACTGTTGCCATATTCAGACGCATGCACAAAACGCTGTGTTCCGTCAAAAGCCCCCCTCGAAAGTTAAAGTAAGCGTTGATCAACTTTAGAGAAACCTGCTCTCTGATCTGTAAAAGAACGCTGTGTTGTGTGATTTTACTGCGAGACCCTCTGGTCAGAGTCACAGAGGAAACTGGTCACCATTTTGTGTCAGCTCTCCTTAAGGCGGAAGGAGACGCCCACTAGAGGGTTGGAGGGTGAAGTGTTTCAGCGAGCACTTGCTGCTCTGTTGCTGTTCATTTCTTAAGTGAGAATACTGGAAACTGTTAAGAGTTAACAACATTTATTTTGTTTAAAACATATTTTTGGTTAAAACTACATTTGATATCTTTTGCACTGTTTTGCACTACAATGAATAAGCCTAATACTTGCTCTCTGGACCTAGTAGTGGAATTTTCTTAACAGATTATTTTGTGGTATAGCAGTTTTCAAAATAAATGATGGCAAAAGAACACCCTATGCTTTAAAAAAAAATCCTATTGCAAGTTTTATACAAAAAACATATTGTGATATATATCGTTATCGCCACCCTTCACAATGCATATCGTGATATGAATTTTTATGCCATATCGCACATCCCTAGCTAGCAGTTAAAATTCAATCCATCAGGTGGGCAAAACTTTACATTTGATAAAATTAGACCTCGTTTTGAGTGCTGAACGTATATCAGAAACATTAACTAATGGTTGCACTACAATCATCTTCCAGAACTCACCTGCTCCACAGAGATCATCTTGCCGTGCAGCTCGGTCCTGTGGAGGTGGTCGATACAGTGAGTGGCCTCCTCTGTGGTCGACATTGTGACAAAGCCATAGCAGCGAGACCCGGGGCTCTTGGCATTAGTCACCACCTTAACGCCACAAACCTGCAGGAAGCATAAAAATGAACAAAACCTTTTTAAAAACACTTTTTGCACTAAGAATTTTTTTTTAAATCAAAAATTAATAAGCAATTAGAGCTAGAGATGTTTGTAAGGAACAAATTGTCTGGACTCACCTTGCCATGCTTGCTGAACAGAGCCTTCAGATCAGCTGCTCTGGTAGTCGAGGACAGACCACTAACCCACAGATTCCTGCTGCTTGTTGCAGCACCACTTCCAGCGGCTGCACAAAAGAAAAACAAATAAGCAAACTACACAAAATACGGTGACTACAACAACAGAAAGTTCATTACCCTTTTCATCCGTTGACTCGGTCTTGTCATCCTTTTCTTCAGAGCTAAAATCAAAATGAAAAATCATTGTGAATAACACAAACAAGAGCATCTGGGGCCACCTAAAATTAGAAGTTTACACTTTTAAAGTATTAAACTTTACTCTCGGTGATCAACTCATCATGGTCCACAGTGGAGTGGGGTAATTGATAGAATTCTACCATCTTACTACCCCATTATATTACTTTTTAAGGGATAATAAAGTGAGTGTAAGTAATGACAAACCATCACATATCCACAGAACATTCTTTTACCTCCAAGTAGCATCCATATTTTGCTAAGACAAAGAGGCCAATGCAACAAGAGATAACCATTTTGGTTTCTAAAATACACAGAAAGCAACAAACCTCTTTTTCTGATCATCGCCCTCTACAGAAGAGGACTCTTTCAGCGTTGAGGTTGAATCCGGAGCAGCGCTATCTTCTGTCTTCTTATCCTCCTCCCCCTTCATAGACCCCTTTTCTGAATCAACAGTTTCACTCGTGTCACCCTGTTCGCTTACACTAACAGCCTGCGAGCTTTTGTTTTCAGAGTCAAATGTCTCTTCAGGGACGTTCTGCTCGTCCCCGTCCTCGTTCCGTACAACAGATGCATCGTCGTCCGGCTTGGCACCAGTGGTGGACACAGCGCCTTTCCCTCCCGAGGTGGCAGCTTGGTCTTCTTCAGGGCTCGTCCCGTGGTGATCTTCTTTAAGTGGCTCAGATAAACATGACCCGGCTACTTTGTCAATTTCTACGGATTTAACAGGAATAGAATGGCACAGAGTTTAATCACTTCTGAAACACATCAATGGTTAACGAGGAACTGGCAAGGCCTGGTTTAGGAACGTCATGACCACTGGCTTGTACTTTTAAAACTATGTATTGAAAAGGTCAGGTTGAACCCTAACAAAGAGACAGGAAAAGAACCCAAAGGGTGGAGGGCAACCAAACAACTACAGGGGCTTTTGCTTATTTCTCAAGCAGAACCGCTTCACTCTAGTCACCTGATCCAAACAATACTAATGGAGTATTGCTGAAGAGAGCCACAAAACCAGCCATGCAGCCGTGGAGACAAACTGCAATCCATCTTCTTTAGGCCTTGCAAATTTTCAACGTCCATTTTTATTGACCATAACTTCAGCTCAGGTCCAACAGTTTCAAGTGATAGTTGCAGATAAATCCAGGGGGATCTTCTTTGTCTTGATCTTCATGTGGCAACCTAGATTACAATCACCAGCAATGGCTCAATCATCCCTGACCATGGAGTGTGATTGCTGACAAAGTGCATCAAACTGTTAACCACAAATGTGTTAACACTTTATAACACAAGCTGTTTTTCAGCATACATTTAAAAATGTAGATTATGTTTTATTGGTTAACAAGATTTCAACACATGGACAGCAATCCCCTTTGGGCTTCCAGTCTCTCCTCTTGATTGTAACTAAATTGTCTGCATTTCCAAGCTAATCACTTAAAAAAAAAAAAAAGTTTCTGATAAACCTCATTCTACAGTACCTGCTTGTCCTTTTCCATCACCAGCATCTGGATCCTTTAAAAAGAACACATGGAAGCAAAAATTAACATTTAAAGAATATAATTTTCTGCTCAAATGCTCATATCAGTTATATTTGTTTGCAAACATACCGCATTGGATGATGAGCATGTCACATCTTCATCCCCTTCAACAGTCTCACTTTGTTCTAACTGTTAAAATATTCAGAGTAATATTAGGACATGGTATGTTATATGTTTATTATTAAAGCACTTCAATAGTCAATTTGAGAGTCAAGTTTCTCACTTCTAGAGCCTTATCCTCGTCTTCAGGCTCTAAAGTCTTTAAGTCAGCTTCTTCTGTTTTGTCAAAATTATCTTCATCCTCCAAGTTATCATCAGCTGGAATCCCACTGTCATTCTCGGTCTCATCCAGAACATTCATGTCAAGGATGTCCATGTCCTGCATGTTCTCAGGCTCATCCAAAAGGTCATCCTAATGAGGAAATCAAATTTCACACATTAACCATAATATCGGAGCAAAACTTGTGTATGAATATACAAATGTTGTCAAACTTACATGTTCATCCCGGGAATCCTCCTCCACGGTGCCATCCTCTGTTTCATCATTTTCCTGTCTGGAATCTACAGAAAATGGGTTTATTTTAGATCCAATTCTATAGCTATTCTACAGGTAGCAATGAAAATTGAACTGCTTGCCATTTGAACTCTGACATAAACACCTTCCATATGAAAAAAAAACTGGGAAGGACACTGATGCACAATCAACACATTATGTTAAAATGTAGTTAGAAACTTAACTGTGTATAAAAAAAATGTTGTGTACTCTTATTACCTATTTTATATACATATTTTACCTATCGGATGACAAATCTCATTTAGAAACAACTCGAAATTAAAGTAAATCAACAACTTTTTTAAGAGCAGACCTGATATTCTTCATGATACTGGTCATAATGTAGAGGTGTTGACGTTATGGATATTACATGCGCGCGAGAATCAAAGATCATGTGCCATTTTTTTTTTTTTACCAGCACGTGACTTTGCAGCTCCGTTTAGTTCAGTGAACTTTGATGTACGTTCACATTGGCTACTTGGCTGATGTGCACCGTCACCATTTTACCTTTAGCCGCTCCTCGTTTGGGTGTAAGGTTGGCCTTTTTGGGGGTCGACTCCGGAAGGACAACGATCTCGTCTGGATTACCCCCCTCGTCCTCAATCGCCTGTTAATGAACAAAGACACAAATAAATAAATAAACAAAACGCCATTACTGCAGGATATCGCACACAAATCCAAACGATTTGAATCAGATGAAGTTATATGACGCAGACGCTAGCGACCCCATTGCACTGAGCTAAAATGACCGCGGATGCTAACCATTAGCCTTACGCATTGAACAAGCCTCATAAGTTTTGTTTTTACGTTTCAGCATGCTTTGCTAGGCTTTTTAATCCCTAACATTGTTTCAAAAACGTTAATATAATGGCGGATAGACCTTTTTCAGACGCTCAGACAGGACGCTTTTGATGCCAGTCGTGTCGAGGTTTCGTTTCTTCAACTCGGCCTTCAGATCGATAACTCGCAGCTCCGACAGTTTGCGAACCTCTGCTCCTTCCGGAAGTTCCACGTCTGCAGATGGGTTTGCCATAGTTCTGCTTGCAAATATTTCTTAATGTAAAAAAAAATAACACTTTGGTTTATATGTGCGAAATGTAGCGATTTGCGCTGCACCACGAATGGAAACAGCACACTTCCAAAAAGGACTGCAAAATGGCGGACGTGTGGCGGGGCAAAGTAACGTAAAGGCGCATGCGCACTTCGATGTTAGTGCAGATAGTTTTTTTTAGGCAGGCCGTTGTATCAAATAATTAAACCACACCCTCAGAAACCCATTACATGTATTTCCTCAGTTACTACAATCTTAATTTATTATATTCATTCACTCAACCTTTATTTGTCCAGGTTAGTCACTGAGTCACGAGGACTCATTTTCAAGGGAGAACTGTTTTAGACAGATAACATATAAAGTACAGACAACAAGTCAACAAAAATCAAATACCGGTAAAAGAAGTTATGAACAGTCAAATCAAGATGTCATATAAAACGAGATGAAATCCTAAAAACAAGAACATATTTGCTTTGATATTTATATTGACATTATCAAATGTTTAAAATCCCTTAAAGAAATCAAAATCGATAGCTTCAGATCTTTTTCCAAGTTCATTATAATTCGCATCAGAGTCAGAGATTCTTTATTGTCGTTTGCACCCACATGTGGTGGAGCGAAATTATGTACACAGGGTCCTATTTACATCCAACAATAAATGTAAAAGAAAAACAATGATAACATCTAAGATATGAACTAAGAAAAACATCAACTAAATATACACTAAGCATTAATAGTGTAAAAACAATATGTCGAACAGCAGCACAAACATGAGCATGAGTCTGTGTGAGCAGATGAGCACACATGAACACATCAACATGAAACAGATCAGCAGCAACATGATGTGATTCTTCACAGTGATTGTTCTGGTTAGAGATTCATGAGTCTAATAGCCTAAGGGTAGAAGCTGTTCCTCAGTCTAGTGGTTCTACACTTAATGCTCCTCAACCTCCTGCCTGAGGGGAGTGGGGCAAAAAGTGTGTGAGCTGGGTGAGTGGGGTCCTTCATGATGCAGGTGGCCCTTTTCCTACATCTGGTGGTGTAGATGTCTGTGATGGTGGGGAGGCTGACTCCAACAGACTTCTGTGCAGCCTTCACCACTCTCTGCAAAGCTTTTCTTTCTGCAGCTGTGCAGCAACACGTTGATGCTGAAGCACAAGATGCTCTCCACTGCACACCTGTAGATGGAGGTGAGGACTGAGCTTTCCAGACCAGCTCGCCTCAGCCGTCTGAGGAAGTAGAGTCTCTGATGAGCTTTCTTGATCAGGCTGGTGGTGTTGTTGCCCCAGCTGAGGTTGTCATTCAGGTGCACACCCAAGTACTTGTAGCTGGAGACCACTTCCACTGCAGATCCTCTTATGTTCAGGGGGGTGTAGGTGTGTTTGGGGTGTAGCTGCCTTTTGATGACAGCTGATTCTGGTTTCCTCAACATTCTCATCCTCCTTGATCTCAGTGCGGCATTTGACACTATTTCTCATAGTATCCTCCTGAACAGACTAGCATCCATTGGCATCAGTCATACTCTACCTGCTTGGTTTAATTCATATATCTCAGGCCACACTCAGTTTATTCAATTTAAAACCCATTCCTCAAATTTGTTTCCCGTTGCTGCAGGTGTGCCCCAGGGTTCTATATTAGAGCCCCTTTTATTTATTATTTATATGCTCCCTCTTGGCCACATATTCCGCAAACATAATGTCAATTTTCACTGTATTGCAGATGACACCCAGCTCTACATTTCTTCAAAACCCAATTCATCTCTTCCACCTACTTCCCTATCAGAATGTCTTATGGAAATTAGATAATGGTTTTCCTCAAATTTTCTTAAACTCAACAGTAAGAAAACAGAAGTTTTACTTGTTGGCACAGTCTCCACTTTAACCAAATCTCAGAGTTTTTCCATCAATATTGACAACTCCCATGTTCATCCTTCCCCTCAGGTAAAGAGTCTGGGTGTCATACTTGATAATACGCTTTCATTTCAATCTCATATTAATTCTATCACCCGGTCTGCATACATTCTTTTACGTGCATGCATTCATTTACGTAACATTAACCGACTTCGTCCCTTTCTTACTCCTCATGCTGCTGCCATCCTTGTCCATAGCCTTATCACCTCCAGGATCGATTATTGCAACTCTCTTCTTTTTGTTATCCCGAATAAGACTCTCCATAAACTCAAACTCCTCCAGAACTCTGCAGCTCGGGTCATAACTTGTACCCCATTCAGAGAACACATCACCCCGATTCTGCAGCAGCTTCACTGGTTGCCCATCTAAGCTAGAATACATTTTAAAATTTTAACTCTCACGTTCAAGTGCATCCATAACCTTGCCCCTCCTTACCTGTGTGATCTGCTTCACATCTTCACTGCTTCCCGTTCCCTCAGATCTTCATCTGCCACTCATTTTATTGTTCCTTCTGCCCATCTCGTCACCATGGGGAACAGAGCCTTCAGTCGCTGTGCTCCTCAGCTCTGGAACTCCCTCACTCCTGTCATCAGGATCACAGACTCTCTTCCCTCTTTTAAATCACAACTGAAAACACACCTGTTCAAACAGGCATATTCTCTATAACTCTGTTTTAAGTGTTGTTTTATCATGACTTATTTTAATTATTTGTTGATTCTGTTTTTATTAATTGCTGATTTTAATTGTTTTTGTAAGGTGACCTTAGGTTTTTGAAAGGTGCCCTGAAATAAAATGTATTATTATTATTATTATTTGTTCCTTCTGAAGTCAACAATCATCTCCTTTGTCTTCTTCACATTGATGTGAAGGTTATTCTCTTTACACCAGCTCTCCAGGTGTTCCACTTCCTGCCTGTAGTTGGACTCATCGTTGTTTGTGATGCATCCCACCACCGCTGTATCATCTGCAAACTTTACAATTTGACAGCCTGTATGGGTAGGTGTAATCATACGTGAGCAGAGTAAACAGGAGGGGGCTTAACACACATCCCTGAGGAGAGCCAGTGCTGAGGGTTATGGTGGAGGAGAAGTTGTGGATCCTCACTAACTGTGGTCTGTTTGTTAAAAAGTCTAGTACCCAGTTGCAGATGGAGGGGCTTAGTCCTAGTGTGAATAGTTTGTCCATCAGGGTTTGGGGGATCATGGTGTTGAAGGAAGATGTGAAGTCCACAAAGAGCATACGGACGTAAGAGTCCTTTTGCTCCAGGTGGTTGAGCGCAGTGTGGACCACAGAGGAGATGGCATCCTCTGTTGATCGGTTCTCGCGGTATGCATACTGATGAGAGTCCTCGTTGATGTTGATGGTTGTTTTGATGTGGGTCATGACCAGTTTTTCGAAGCATTTTGCGACTATCGAGGTGAGGGCCACTGGCCGTTAGTCATTCAGACCAGTCACTGTAGAGCTTTTTGGGACTGGGATGATGGTGGCAGTCTTCAGGGAGATGGGAACTGTCTCCAGGGTAAGTGAGGTGTTAAAGATGTCGGCCAGCACCTCGCAGAGCTGATCGGCTTCGGCACACGTGGTACATGAGGTGGAACGAAATTATGTACTCGGGGTCCCAGTGACACCCAAAAACAGCCAAAATATAAAGCATAAAAAGAAACAGAATATAAAATAAACACTTTTGTAAGGTGTCCCAGGTTACGGGAGCAGATTAGGAAAGGCCTTTTTGCAGAGTTCAGTTCGCACTGAGGAGACGCTGCAGGTAATGAATCCCTGAGAGCGCACGCTGTACATATAACATTATTAGTAGTCTTCTTAATCAAAATAATTCTTATTAGTGATGAATGTTTGAGATATCTGAAATGTTTACTACAAACAGGATAAATGGCACTTTTCTGCTGAAAAGTTAATCTTGACTAGGAAGTATTTATTTATGTGTATGTGCCTTGAATATCCTCATAAACTAATATAAATTAAACTGACTTGCCAAAGTATATGGCAACAACAGAGTAAGAAATACAATGCAGGAAATCAGGAAATACATTAATAAAAATATTTAAAGTTACAAAAGCTCAACACACAACACACGTCTATTACTTCTCTGTTCATTCACAGTTTCATCATTTAACATTATAAAAATACACATCAATACAAACTTGTTTATAAAAAAATGCACAGTTAAGACGAAAATGACACCAGCCAAATAAACTGCATAGTCGTGTGCTCCTATTACTGAAATTTACACTTTCGTCTTTGGACATAAATTATTTTTCCATTCAACCTTTATTCATACAGGTTAGTCTCATTGAGTCATGAGGACTCAGTTTCAAGAGACCTGTTTTAGACAAACCACCGATAAGGTACATACAGCAATAAACGGCCATAAAATGCATGTACTGTCAAATAAAAAGTAAATAAAAGTAGTAATATAAAACAAAATAAAATAAAGCTACATTATGAAATGGTAAAATACTAAAAACAGGAACATGTCTGCATTGATTTTTGCATTGAACTTAACAATTGTTTAAAAGCCCTTACAGAGGTCAAAGTCAACCACTCCAGATCTTTATGCAAGATGTTCCAGGGAATTATAGATAATTTATCACTGTCACTGCATCACAATGCTTAGAAGGAATGAAAATTGTACATGTCACTGAATTTGTAGTTAGCATCATTCATTTGGCTGTAGGGAAGACTTTTGCTGGCTACAAGACGTTGTGGGGCACTGAATTTTTCTGGACAGTCTGTCTCTTCTGGTACATTGGCACTTCTGGATGAAATGAGAACATCAGCATTAGAAACTTTGCTGCAAGTTTGGGCATAGTCTGGCCATGTGTTTGAGGCAGAAGCAACAGAGGCGAATTCCTCAACAAAAGAGGAGCTCCCAGGATAGTTGCAGGAGCTGACGCTGGAGTAAGTTGAGGAGTTTCGAGAAGGCCGTGGCTCGTGGAGATTGAGTTTGGACACCAAAGGTTTTCCCACGGTTACTGGTAGCCTTTCTTCTACCTCTTCGTCCATGTTGGCGTAGGTGTACTGAAGGCAGACTGTGAATGTGAGCTCCCTCTGTAAAATTAATCAAAGTCAGTTTTAAATAAAGGAGGACTTTATAAATTATTCCCATTTGATACAAATACAGTATTTTTTTTTTTCTGATTTCTCTGAGGATAAAATATTGAAAAGACAAAAACAAGAGTCTGACTCTGAGTCTCTGCAGGCTGCGGAGGCGTGTGTAAAGACTTGGGACGTCTGGTGAAGGAAGTTCTTCCTTAATCAACAGTAAACAGCCAGCTTCAAGCAGAGTCTCCTGGTTACTCGTTTTCAGATCAACATCCACGTCCTGTGAAAAGAATATGAAAACAGAGTCAAGTCTAAATCTAAGTAAAATCTCATAACTGATTAGTGAGGACAATGATGAGTCCAGCTACAGGCAGGAGGTGGAACACCTGGAGAGCTGGTGCAAAGAGAATAACCTTCACATCAATGTGAAGAAGACAAAGGAGATGACTGTGGACTTCAGAAGAAACAAAAACATCTACACCCCCCTGAACATAAGAGGATCTGCGGTGGAAGTGGTCTCCAGCTACAAGTACTTGGGTGTACACATGAATGACAACCTAAGCTGGAGCAACAACACCACCAGCCTGATCAAGAAAGTTCATCAGAGACTCTACTTCCTCAGACGGCTGAGGCGAGCTGGTCTGGGAAGCTCAGTCCTCACCTCCTTCTACAGGTGTGCAGTGGAGAGCAGCCTCCAGCATCAACGTGTGGCATGGAGGCTGCACAGCTGCAGAAAGAAAAGCTTTGCAGAGTGGTGAAGGCTGCACAGAAGTCTGTCAGAGTCAGCCTCCCCACCATCACAGACATCTACACCTCTAGATGTAGGAAGAGGGCTACCTGCATCATGAAGGACCTCACTCACCCAGCACACACACTTTTTGCCCCACTCCCCTCAGGAAGGAGGTTAATGAGCATTAAGTGTAGAACCACTAGACTGAGGAACAGCTTCTACCCTGAGGCTGTTAGACTCATGAATCTCTAACCAGAATAATTACTGTGAAAAAATCACATCATGTTGCTGCTGATCTGTTTCATGTTGCTGCTGATCTGTTTCAATGTTGATGTGTTCATGCGTGCTCGTCTGCTCACACAGACTCATGTTCATGTTTGTGTTGATGTTCAATGTTTTTATGTTATGAGTGCTTAGTGTATATTTAGTTGATGTTTTTCTTAGTTCATATCTTAGATGTTATCATTGTTTTTCTTTTACATTTTATTGTTGGATGTAACTGGGACCCTGTGTACATAATTTCGCTCCAGCACATGTACCACATGATGTGCGAATGACAATAAAGAAACTCTGACTCTGAAGCTGAAATCATGAAAATGTCACTTAATATGTAATAAAAATAAAGAAAATTAAGCAAAGTGAAGTATGGAGAATTGAAAGAAAATTGGCAGAGGACAAGCTGGGACAAAATTGTCCAGCTGACAAAACCGGATTTTGAAACCTAACTTCAGTGCAGTGTGTACCAAACTATTTAGGTTTTGACCCATGAAATAGCAAAGACTTGAACCTAACTATTGCTGGTTAAAGTGCACAAACATCGCTTATGAGCCATTACACAAGAAAACAATGACACCCTAATCACACCTAGGGACAATTTAAGTTACCAAACAGCCTAACATGCATGTTTTTGGTCTGTGGGAGGAAATCGGGAGTCCCCGGAGAAAACCCACACATGCAGAGAGAACATGCAAACTCCACCCAGAAGGGTCCCCAGCTGGGTTTTGAGCTGTTAACCTGCTCGTTGAGAGGCAGCTCTCCCAACTGCTCCATCGTACCGCCCTGCCCTATTATCATTTATATTAAAACTTTATTTGATTTCTAGAAATTATCTTAAGACCCCACTGTTGTTTTTTTTTTAACACAGGTTGGGGTCCAAATCACAACTTTAGTAACTACAACTTTAGAGGTTAGAGGAGACCTTAAAATATTTTTATGTCAATATTTAAACCTTTCCACTGGCACAGCAATCGTTGACTGACTGATTTAATTGCTCTAGAATTGCGCCGCTCAGGGTAGCTGCATGTTGGAGCATCTCTGTTACTTTCATACTGAGATTTTGCTTTTGAAAACTTTAATTCCTGTTTTTCTGGAAGTAAATCACTGTTTTTTGGAGGATTGTTTCCTCTGTATCAGATGCTGTGCAGCTGGAAGGATTTTTACTGAAACTTTCTTACTTTTGAACATTTGTTATCATGCGTAACCATGGCAACAAGGTGCTTTTTTAAATAAAAAAATTAAAAAAAAGCAGCAAGAAGCAGCTGATTAACATCTCAAAAGTTCAAATAATATCTCAGCTACAGCCCCAAATCTCAAATGAGTTGAAAAGGAGGCTCTGTGCATGCATTCCCGTCTACCTGCCAACTGAGATTAAGTGCCTGACCATTGAGATCCTAAGATCGCCTAAGGAGATCCTGGAACTGCCAAGAAACATGGCTCGTGACAGCAGAAGGACCGGGATCGTCCTCTGGCACCTGCAGCTGGCTGTCTGCAGCAACGAGGAGCTCGGCAGGCTGCTGGGAGGAGTGGCCATCGTTCTGGAAGGAGTTCTTCCTAGCATTCATGTGGTCCTGCAGTTCGGGGAAACTGAAGGTCAGTCGAGTCTGGGTGGACGGATCGGACAGCACCTGCGGCCAGTTTCTTTGGATCCGCTGTGGGACGGACCTTTACAAGAGATCCTTTCTGCCTACAGCCATCAGTATCTATCTTAATGAAATGAGGATAATGAGTTACAACAACATTTAATTTCCTATTGGGATTAATAAAGTATTATTGAACTGAAATGTATTAAATTGAATTGTCATCCCTTATTCTTGTCTTGGTTGAATATACATTATAAAAATTTGGTGTCATGACAACAAATTCAGGAGTTGCTGTTTGAAGTAAGACAGAAAGTCCCAAAGTCAGAAACGTGGAGTAAACGACCACATAACATCGTGAGGCAGCTGTGGTTAAGTGGTTAGAGCAGTCGACCTCCAATGAAAGAGTTGGGGGTTCAATTCCACCAGCAGTCGCATGGTGAAGTGTCCTTGGGCAAGAAACGGAACCCTTCATTGCCTCTAATGTGTGTTCCATCGATGTATGAATGTGATAAAGCTCTGATTAATCTTTGTAGAGATCTAGTAGAGTGCTGTATGAATGGGTAACTGAGGACACAGACTGTGCTGTAAAGAACTTTGAGTATGTTAATAAGATAGAAAGGTGCTAGATAAGCACAGTTCGTTTACCATTTACCACATGGGATAATAGCTAACTCACCACTGGGAAGTCAGTCAGCTGAGCAGAACAGGAAACTATCTCTTTGGGCTTCTCGAGTGTCCGAGTGTAAATGACCATAACGTTGGAGAATTCTGCTGCAAAGCCCAGCTGTACCTTCACCCCACAGTCAAACTGAATGCAGCGGCTCTCTGGCAGAACTGTGAAGGGAGGCATTTGAATTAAAAATGAAAAAAAAAAAAACAAATGTTAAAGAGATAAATAAACTGATCCACAAATAAAATAAGTAAGTTTCACTAAGTTTAATCCTTTACGATAATTTTAGAAGAGTACCGTGAGATACAGCCCACTGCAGGTTTCGAGCTGAATAAGAGGCAGAACAGTCAGAAGTCTGAATCTGGTCAGTGAGGGCACGTCGTTCTGACAGATTGCTACGCAGCTCAAGAGCCTGCCTCCCCCTTGTGATCGCACAACGACCCATATCTGGAAAACATAAAGAGCATTTTAGCTACAACAGGTATGAATAACGTAAAAGAGTTGCTCGTCTGGCATAACAGCCATGGACGAGATTTAAAAAAGAGAGCTGGATGTGACCCGAACCGCAATCTTTTGTTGCACTGCGTGTCTGCGCTCTACCTTCACCGACTCTGTCGAGCATGACGGTGACCTTCTCATCTTCACACACTCGCTGTTTAAGGAAGTTTATGAAGATGCCGTTTGACACGTCGTCTCTCTTGACCTCGTACGCTTTGGCGTCAACACATCTAAACACGAAACAATTCCACTCGAATGGCACGTTTAAAATCAACACGAGGAGCAGAACGACAGCTGAAGGAGCAACTCACGTGGCATAACCAAACACAATATTTGCTGTGACTTTGAGTGGTCCGGGCTGTACAATGACATCATCGTTTGGGTTTCTGAAAAAAAAAAATATATATATATATATATATATTTTTTTGTTTGTTTGTTTGTTTGTTTAATATGCGCTGCAGAATTATTTCCTTAAAACAAAAACTTACCTTTTGCGGCACATATCCAACAGGAAGACATTGAGCCCAGTTTCTTTTTCCTGCATCTTGGTCAGTATATTCTGTACACATAAGCAGTGCTCTGAAGTGTAGGACGCTGGAGCATCAATGGGAACCATAAAACTGTTGCCGTAGTTCTCGTACCCATGACCAGCAAAATATAGCAGACCTGCAGAAGCATTGACAAAACTTAAAGAACAAAATGCAAAGCCTTTACCTATTCTTCTAGACTTGAGATATGTGCTACGACTTGGACGTCTGAAGGGACACAGACGGATTCTAACCATAAACTCCCTTGTCGAGCAGCAGCAGGAACTCGGTCACAGCACTGTGCATCTCCTGCCAGTTGAGGTCGAGCAGGGACACCACCTTGAAGTCCATTTGTCTGAGAAGGTTGGTCAACTCGTGGACGTCAGAAATGGGCGCACACAGCTGAGTGTGGTGGTGGTAGTTCATGTTGCCCATTAGGAGAGCAACTTTGTCCGTAGCTGTGCAGAGTACAAAGATAGAACTGTAGAACTCACTCATTTTAAATGGAAAATACAAATTTCTTTATCACTTGCTTAAAAATTACCATAGACTTTATTGGCAGCTGAGGGTGGATCAACCATCTGTTGCATTGGATGTATGCCTGGTCCAAAGGTTGACCTGTGGACTTCCTGCAATTCTGCCCAAACCAAATGAAACAGTTATCATCTAAAAGAAGAAAAGTACTGCGCAGACTCAACCGACTGAACAACGTTAAAGGTTCAAACATAAATTGCAGAACAAACTGTGCTGTAAAAACAAAAAAGGAAGAAGCAGGGGAACTATAATAGTGCTTTAATTTCTCCATTTCCTCTTGAAACGCCACAATACCTGAACCACGATCGACTTCTACCCAGGTGGCGTCTGTGACTGAACTTGGGCCTGCATGAGCGTGTAAAAAATAAACAGTTAGTTGTTGCACAGCATCGCAATTCTACAATTTGAGATTTACGCAGTATTGTTGTGATTTCATTAGCATAAACTCTTTTGTTTCCTGTCTTTACATTTAACAATGAGAACTAAAGTCAGTGGGTCTCACCGATGGAGACTGTTGCGTTGTCACTCCACGCCTCGTGGTACAAGTTGAAAACCTTGCATCTGTACTGTCCTCTGTGCTCTGTGGTCACACACTGAATCTAGAAAGCAACAACATTTAGTAAACTGGTACAGAAACAACGAAGAGCGATTTTATAATCCAATGTTTTGATTCAAATGTATTTAAGTGTACACTGGTTCCACCTAACATTTGTTCACTGGGATGTCAAACTTGTTTTTGGTTTTTGTTTGTAAGAAAAAGAACATGAATCCCAGTCGGGGGCCTTTCTGGGTGTAGTTTGCATGTTCTCTCCATGCTGCGTAGGTTTTCTCCAGGTACTCCGGTTTCCTCCCACAGACCAAACACATTCATGTTAGGCTGATTGGTAACTCTAAATTGTCCCTAGGTGAGAGAGAGTGAGAGTGAGAGTGAGAGAGTGAGAGTGAGAGAGTGAGAGTGAGAGAGAGAGAGAGTGAGAGAGTGAGAGAGTGAGAGTGAGAGTGAGAGAGAGTGAGAGTGAGAGAGAGCGAGAGAGAGCGAGAGAGAGCGAGAGAGAGCGAGAGAGAGAGAGAGAGAGAGAGAGAGAGAGAGAGAGAGAGAGAGAGAGAGAGAATGGTTGTCTCGTTTGTCTCTATGTGTCCCTGTGATGGAGTACAGAACTGTCCAGGGTGTCTCCCGCCTGTTGCACAGTGACTGCTGTGCTGGATATGGACACCAATGACCCCCGTGACCCAGAAAGGAAGAAATGGGTAAAGAAAATGGATGGATGGATGGATACATAGTGACAACTGTTAATTCAACGTTTAAATGTAACAAAATGTAGGATTTATATATTTGCACATAAGACATGCACAACAATGTGGGGAAATACTGGAGCATGTTTTATTTTCCACAAAACTGACATCTCTTAAAAATTTTCCAGGATGCTTGGATTGAAAAAGTCCTTTTCTTTTCGTGTCATGTAACATAATTTTAGCCTAGATCGATTTTCATGCCCATCCTGAAACATGAACTTTTCTGAAAACATTCAGATGTTCATTTACTTGTGTTCTTTGGATAATCTTGTTTCACCTGTCACAGTAATCTGGACAAAATTCTGACCGATATGCCAGCTAAAGAAGCTACTGATCTGGTAGGCATTGATCGTAACGAACAGGATATTGGTGGGAAAAATGTCATTTAAGTCTTTCTGGAAAACCGACAGCATCATCAGGGTGTTCAGACCAGGGCTGAGGAATAAAGTCAGCAAACATTCACACATTAGTGGTCAAACAATACTATAAATCCATCTGTCCATTATCTTTATCCACTTCTTCCTTTCTGGACCAATGGTGCCCATATCCAGCTGTCTCTGAGTAAGAGGTGGGGGACATCCTGGACAGGTCTCCAGTCCATCACAGGGACACACAGAAACAAACGAGACAACCATTCACTCTCTCACTCACACCTAGGGACAATTTAGAGTTACCAATCAGTCTAACATGCATGCTTTTGGTCTGCGGGAGGAAACTGGAGTACTCGGAGAAAACCCACGCATGCACGGAGAGAACATGCAAACTCCACCCAAAATGGAGCCCGGGCTGGAATTTGATCCGACTACCTTGTCGCTGAGAGGTGGCAGCTCTACCAACTGCGCCACCGTGCCGCCCTAATTAACTAATTAATGCGGAAGTTTGGTCAAAACTGAACGACACGCAAATAAATTTTAGCAACCATCCATTTATATATTTTATTTATATTATTAAATAATTGGAGAAAAAAAAATCTGCTTTTACAAGTTTAAATTTGATCTGGTTGTCAGATAAAAACACACGTTTGTGACTTACTTTGAGTATACATGTCTTTTCTTGGGGTAGGAGAACTTTGTTGTGGTACCATTCGTACTGAGCAGGGGGGTTGGCCTCAGCTTTACACCTCAGGACCAGAGTATCTCCTTCAGAAGCTGCTTGGGACTGAGGCTGTTCGATGACACTCAGTCCGCTCACTGAGCCTGGAAACAGACTGCTGCAGTCTGCGAACGTGAGGATCCATCATTAGATCATCAGGTGAACGGGAAGCAGAGAAAAACACAGGGAGCGGGCGGGACAGATACCTGCACTGGAACCTGTAGATTGGACCAAGCGAACATGAGCCCAATGGGAGAAGAGACACTTTTCTCCATGGTTGATCCTGCAGATGTAGTGACCCTGATGGGTTGGACTCAGAGGACACAGAACCAGCTCCGGTGAAGTCCCTGTTTCATTTACCATCTGAAATAGAAATGTGTTTAACATATAATTAAGAGTTTTATTATCCCGCTGTCATAAAGATCATAAACATTAGGAAATTACAGATTTACTCAAAAATGTATATAAATACTTTCATGGTTTGGTAAAAATAGAATCTGTTATAATTTCATGAAAAATGTAGGACTGACCTCCTCTTTGCCTCTGAACCACTGATAGCCGAGTCCAGGGGGTCCAGAAGCCCTGCAGCTCAGGACCACCCTGCTCCCCGGTGAGGCCTGCAAGGACTGTGGGTGCGTGGTGATCCGGATCAGCTCCGACACTGAACAACAAACACAAGGACACGAAGGCGTCAGAGTTCAAGCACTTCTCTACAGACAAGTAAAAACCTATCAAAAGAGCAACAACTTGTGTTTTTATGACCTCAACTGTGACAACTAAAATACATTTGACAAATTAAAAAAGTGGAAGATTAAAAACTTTTAAGATCATAAGAGAAGCTCCAAGGAATTGTTATTGTAGATTTTATTAACTACATATGTTAATATAAGTCAAAATACAAATAAAGATTGTGAAGTGCTGGGTACTATATTATCATTTAAAACTTCCCTCATAAAAAACCTAAATAAACACCTTTTCACATAAATTATTATTTTAACAGCTTTAAGAGCTTCGTTTAGGCCAATAAGTAAAAAAGCATAAGCTAGAGGTATGAAGTTTTTATCTTTTTTTTTATTTTTTATTTACTTTTAATCAGATTTTTTTTTTCAGACAAAGTCACTTTATGTTTTACTGAAATCAAAAATTAATATCTATGTAAATATCGAATGACATTCAGAACTACCTCCAGCACTATGATTATATGAAGTGAATCTGGCCATGGATATTCTCAGCAGTGACATATTTTCCAAGAAGTGGGAAAAGTTAGTTGGAAAAAAAATAATTTTTTGATTCAGTTCTTGTGTTTTATATCGATTTCACTCTTTTGTTTCAGACAGTGGTTAGCGCTGTTGCTTCACAGCAAGAAGGTCCTGGGTTCAATCCCCGGTTGGACTTGGGGTCCTTCTGTGTGGAGTTTGCATGCTCTTCTCGTGCTTGTGTGGGTTTTCTCTGGGTACTCCGGTTTCCTCCCACAGACCAAAAACATGCATGTTAGGCTGCCTGCAGGCCCAGGCCGCACTTGCAAAAGAGATCTGTGATCTCAATGGGATTTGCCTGGTTAAATAAAGGTTAATAAATGAAATAAAAATTTGCAGCAGACATGTGCAGCCAGGTGTGAATAAATAGTTTGGTTCTACAATTTTAAATTTCCTCTTCATGACAACTGTACTAGCAAAGGGCTTTTTGAAAATTTCTATTAAAATGTTATGAAACCTTTGAGATAAGAATCATTAAAAGGAACAACAATCTGAGTACAAGTGAAATGATGAACTGTCTTAAAAAAAAAAAAAAAAAAA